TTTTTTTTGGAATTTGTTAATTTTTTTTCAAAASTTTTAAGTAAAGCATCTACTTAGTATCTTAGGGGTCATTTTGTATTGGATTGAGAAACATTTCGGCGGCCATCTAAAGAAAGATATGTTGTACACAGTTTATAATGTCGAAAATCCACACAACACGATTTTTCACTTGTTATTATGTATTATTTTAATCGCATTTCTTATGAATATATATATATAATATCTAAATGTAATATATTGCATCTCATATCTTGTGTTTCAATCTAAAGATTTCAAAGTATATCAGTCAAACTAAAGAGGGTTTATAAGTTTGTGAATCACACTTCATAATATTTGTCTGCAACTGCTTACAACTGGCGTAAAAAGGCTGCACTACAGATCATGCATGCACTAACACGAGTTATGCATACGGAAACTCCATTGAAATAGACGCGGATTCATTGATAGAGTATGTGCAAGTTGCGCACGCCAAACATACCSCATAAATCATGTTTACAAGTTAACTTGATTCAACTCAAGTCGAGCAGGAGGTTGAGTACATTGTGTAGAGTAAAGCCTTCAAGAGGCCGTGTTTAACAAGTTGTAATAATGTTACATTCGAAACTTATGCAGTACAGATCGGATCTTAGGGTATATGATAAACTTGAGTGGTGAATTTTTTTCGCAATACTAAACTAGAATGATATAAAGAACCGCTTTTATTGAACAAACGCTATTACACAGGTAGCCCAAGCTGAACTTTTGTACTATCACTTGCAGTTAATCATAAMAATCTAGTACGTTAGTAAAGGAACAATTAGTTGTAATAATTATAAGAGTGTTATATATAAATACTGTTTTTTTAAATATATCTAGAGCATGGCAAAGCTGAGGTTTGACTTGGATTACCTGTAATTAGTGCCCAGTCTTTATTATTTATTTGCGYGGAACAGCAAATAAGGGTATCTTGATAACTATCATGTAGTCTTATTAGATGATATTTCATATGGTTGTGAATGTATTAGTGATAAAGCAGTGTTTTAAAAATAAAAATTGTACGTGAGGAATCTTTGGGGTAACTTTATCTTCAGTATCAGAATAAAACGAGATTTCAATCTTGTAAGACTGACTTTTGTCGTGGTGGGCGCGCYAAGGATAATGGATTTCCTTGTAATTTTTAAAACAGCTATTTTAAAAAACGTCGGCCGGGGAGAACGGCGATGGTYGAAGGGAGATTGCACGACCGAAAGGGACTTTGGTTACTCTGTTTTGATAAACAAAATTGAACTTATTGGATTCACCTTACACAGAAATAGAGACTAAATGGAGCCAATGTTTACCACAGACCATCTTACAGTACAAATCAGTTGTTATTGCCTTTCAGCTAGCAAAAGCCATGACTACTTTCGGTCATGCAATCGCCGTTCGACAATTTACATTCGCCATTTTATTCGACAACCTTTTTTGAAATAGCTATATGATTTTCAATGGGCATGCATTGCGCGCACCGACACCATTTTCTATAGCAAAGCATCGAGGGAAATGCACTTAACTCTTAGCATACCGTCTCTACAAAGAAAATCCGCCATCATTTTAAAGTTGCTTCCATAAATCCGTGAAACGGATTTACACGCTTTCACAACTCGCTGTCTCTACTTCCATGGTTTCATTTCAGTGTGCTTATTAGCAACCAGGAGCGCATTAGTAATGTAGCAGATAATTTTGTTTCACGGTTTGCGCTCTAGAGCAGGCACAACTACTATCGAGACTTAAGCGATTTATAACTTGTCTTCAGGCTGGTGTAACCTATCAGTGACCTATGCCTTGTTTCAAACAATTTTTACGCTTTATGGTACATCAAGGGTCACCTCTACCAAATTTCCAATCCAACGTTGGTTGAAGTTGCACCAGAACTTTAACAAAATATAATACACGACGGATTGATCATTTTAGGTCGTGAATAGCAAATTTGTTTTATGGCTCTGGTTCTAGTAGGCAGAAGCAAAAGTTATATCGAAAGAAGGTGCTTTGGAAATTTGCGCGCAAATTATGTGTGGGTCACCTGTGGTAAGCATTGTAGCGTGGTCGCTAAGGAGACAAAATGGCTTCCACGTGAAAGTTGTTTTTGTATGGAAATCAAACTTWKKAAGACATATTCATGCTTKTAGACACTCTAAAAAGACATTATTTCAACGTCCAACGATTTTTTGYCATCTGAAGAATATCCTAAAGCTGATTTTGGGGCAAAGTTTAGTTCGAGCTTGCTTTGCAAGCAATGTTAATTGTCTTACGCAATTCAGAAGATCTTGGTGCAACATTAACAGTATAAGAAATTATAGAAATACGATCAGGCCTAAAGAAAGGTAGGAAGGATTCATTGTCTTTGATAGTTCTTGTTATGAACAAAAACAAAGCGAGCGCCATCGTGTTAGATTAATGAACAAGGGAGGCGAGTGAAGAATTATTTGTTGCTCTTAATTTTTAACAAAGAAAGTTATCAGCATAAGTAAGAATTTAAATTTATTACCAAAAATGCTTTAATGATTTATTATCTAAACGTTTCTCCTGCCAAAAAATATGGCGATTGCCTTGTTATTGAGATTTTTAAGATTTTAAACCAAGCTGTATTGCACTATGTTATTATAGAGCATTCTGTACCATGGGTCATGACAGCAAAAATAGCACCCTTGATGAGAGATATACTGACAAGTACATTCTTGCACCAATGGTACGGATTGGAACTCTACCGTCAAGACTTTTAGCATTACGGTATGGTGCCGATCTTGTCTACTCTGAGGTATGCCATAATTTACTGTATACAACATTTCAGAAATGTTKAATGGTATTGATATTATATATTAACCTGGCATCATTTATATAATTCATTAAGCCTTTGGTTTCTTTTCAAGCTGCTTACCATCCAGGAGTTTTCATTCTACAACTTTATTTCACTTCATTGAACTTAATAAAAATAATAAAAATATGAAATTGTGATGTACTTAATCAATTCTATACATCTTGATGTTACATATTGTATAACTCAAAGATCTTGGTCACCAAGTCATAATAGATTGGATTGGATTTCAGGAAATTATTGATTTTAAGATACTCAAGACTACAAGAATTGAAAACAGTAAGAAAGATGTTTAACTTCTTTTTTAAAAAAGAAACTACATGTAGTATTTGTTTTCAGCTAAGCTTTTACTTACTTCAACCAGCTGAATGTTGTTTTTATTCTTGTATTATATCATGGCATTTRTTTGTCTTTTGTTAAAGAACGTTTGCAGACGGTTGACTATGTAATGGCAGACGGAACTGTGGTCTTCAGAACATGCAAAGAAGAAAGTGATAAAGTGGTCTTTCAAATGGTATGTTTGTTGAAAAAACTCACTTTAAAACACTGGTGATAAAATTACAAATCTTCAAATTTCAAAGTCTGTGAAGCAGTCAACTAAGGAAGATGGCACCAGGTGAAAAGCAAAGCTGTCCACTCCAATTCCTGGTTTAAACATTTATCAGTGGATAAACACACTTATTTTTATGTACATTTTACATGTATTTGATTTTAGGGTACTGCTGACCCAGAAAGAGCTCTTAAAACAGCTTTACATGTGTAAGTTTTGCTTCGGTGTACTGTATAATGCACATAAAATGAAGCATTATCTGTTCAGTTCATGATGTGTAATTTAATTTAGGTTACAAGATGTTTCTGCTGTTGATGTAAATATGGGCTGTCCAAAGGATTACTCTGTTAAGGTATAGTATGTGTTTGTAAGAGAGGATCATGGCTATAAATAATTAGTTTTTAATATCTCAAATTTAGTAATATTGCTCATTATATTTCATCAGGGTGGTATGGGTGCTGCATTACTGACAGAACCAGAAAAAGTCTACAATGTAAGAAGTTAATGATAATTCTGCTCTTTCAAACCATACATTATATTTTTTAGTTCTGTTTTCATTTATTTATTTCATTTCATTTATTTATTTATTTCATTTATTTATTTATTTATACAACATTTTGATGTTTTGTTTCAGATTCTTACAACATTAGTCAAAGGAATTAATAAACCTGTAACATGTAAAATTAGGATTTTACCCACAGTAAGTATAATAATAAAGTCGAAACAATTTTATATTATATTTGATAATGTATCAATTGTATACCAGCTACAACCCCCGGGGGGTACTCCCTCCAAACTTGGGTGGGGGTGTGCTGCTGGGACCTCAAAACTGTGACCCTGTTCCAGAGTGAAATCGCTGAAAACTATACCCTGTTCCAGAGTAGAATTGCTGAAAACGATATCCTGTTTCACAGTAAAATACAGCACTAGCTTGTGTGTAGACCGAATTTTTACCCCATGAATTTTTACCTAGACTCCTCGCAGCCATTTTCCGGTGTCGTCTCGGAGGATTAATTTTTACCCAGCAGAGATAATTCTGGAATTAAACGCTGACCCTGTTCTAGAAAAAAAATCGGTGAAATCGATACCCTGTTCCAGAGTAAAATCGCTGAAAACGATACCCTGGTTGGTGGCACGTCCCTGTATAGTTAATATAGGGGAGTACCCTCCCTTCCCCCCCTCCCTCCCGGGCTACAACCTCTACCAAAAACAAATAACACCTATAATTCTTAGGTTCTATACCCTTAACCCCCTAGGCAATGTTGTTTGTGAACCGCAGAAAGACATGATTTCCAGCCAATACATGAAAACATCATCCTACAGTACATGGTTTTATAACAACACTGAATTACATGTAGGAAATGGGATCGCAAGTGATCTGTTTATATTGCATAAGATTGTAGCTCAGTTCACAGAGTGCTGGTTTACTATTGGAGGATGGGAGAGATTATATTCTGCATACTAGACTACTACTCAGCATGATCTAATACTGTAATAAGAACTTCATATTTTCCTGCATCATCTTGAAAGGCAGTCAAAGCATGATAGCTAGTGAGCATTTAATGATATAGTACTTTCTTTCAAACCTATGGACACTTCACCTACTGGTGTACGTGTATTTGATACTCACAAATCATCTCACTTCAATGGAAGGGCATGTACTGTATTCCTTTCAGAATGGTGCAGGGAATCATGAGCAAGACTTTGAGAGATATACTGAC